ACTTTTTCAACTTAAATTTTGAAAGTGTTCCGGAAAGTCTGACACTTTTCTGTATATATTAAATTAAAGCTAATGTAATCTACTTTATTATGTAAAAAAAAAATTTCGGACTTTATTTTGTCTTCACGACAATAATAGCATTTGGTATTGTGTGAAAATTCTCAATTTTATTTTTTACATTTTTAACTTTATAATGCTATAACTTATTGAAAAGTGTATTGATCAATATAATTTTTTTATGGGAAATTCTATTTTTTAATAATCCCTTTTTAATTCGACATACTTTATCTTAATCAGGATATTAATNAATCTCTTTTTTATTCGACATACTTTGTCTTAATCAGGATATTAATAAGGAACTAGCAGTTTATGAAGCTTTTGGAATAATCCACCAATTTTTTAAAATTAAACACTATCTAAAGATTTGCATCGAAGCGTTTTTTTTTGATAGTGATTTTAATCACTGTCATATCATTATACTTGATCCATCTATACCACGTCACCACTGTGCCGTGACCCCCCTGTGCTGGGTTTTTTTTGTACAATTTGGCCTTATTTTTAGTTTTTATAAGTCTGAATAAACTAAAAATTAAACATTTTAATGCATGAAAAGAAAGTTGATTATTCTCATCTTTCATAGCTTTAAATTTATACCCTCAGGGATATAATCAGGTAGTACTCCTAGTGTCTGGGTACTACAAGTAAAATTTGCAAAATTTGATCATTGTGTACAAAATAGTGAAACTAAAATTAAAAAAAATTTGGGGGTAAACCAAATTAATTCCTCTCTAGTTAAAATTATTTTATATAATAATAACTTTTTGTGTGCGTGGGAGAAAGACCTGCATAATGACAAATTAATTAATTATATTAATCTATTTTGAAGACTATAGGCTATCCTAAAATGTAAACATTTTATTAATATGAATTTTTTCAATATATAATTTTCATTAATTAATCATGTTATGATTTAATTATACAAAAATCTTTTAAAAAAGTTTGTATCCATAAAAATCATTGAAATTTTTTTATCTATGAAGGATCTATTTACATATCTCTTTTCGTATGACTGTTTCATTTATTTGAATTTAGAAAAGCTCTTTGTTTTTATATAGTTGTTTTAAATTTTTTGAAAAAAAGATTCTGGCAAATATTTTATCTACAGTTTTTCTGCTAAATAGTTTTTCCTTTAAAACTATTTGGTTACAAGTTTAGTTTTATCAATATTATTTGATTATTTGATACAATATAATTTTCTAATCGGGTTTAAATTTTTTTTAAAAATCGAGTATTTGTATAATTTTTCTTTTATCATCTTCAAGTATATTGTATTTTTTATAATTTAATGTAAATTTAAAAGTCAATTAATAACTTTTGTTTAAACTGTATAGTATAATTTCTCAAGTTTACAGTTCTCATTTATTATTTTAAACGAATTTTTCGTTAATTTAACAATATTATCTTCAATGCGAAGCTGAGAAGGAATTGGTTTTATTAAGATGTGTTTATTTTTTTTTTTTTGTGTCTGTTACTACTTTTTCTCAGCTCTTATCGAACCGATTTCTTTCAATGATACGTTAAAAGATCACAAATCGTATCTAGTCGAAGACATTACCCTCAAAAATTGAAAAAAATGGGGGAAATATCCAAAAAAATTACAAATTTAAAAATCGCTAATTTTTTCAACTTTTTTTACTTAAAAGTGCCATAACTTTTTCAAAAATGAACATATCTATATAATTCTTTTATATATAGATGCATGATATCATTACCTTTCATTTGGTATATTTTTTATTTATATTTAACCCTTTACCTGCCCACAGGGGGGATTTAAAATGACAACTGTTTCACTAAAAATTAATTTTTTCAACTTAACTTTTGAAAATGTTCCGGAAAGTTTGACACTTTTATATATATCTTAAATTAAAGCTAATGTGATATACTTTATCATAGAAAAAAAGAATTTCGGACTTTATTTTATCTTCACGGTGAAAATGGCTACCGAATGCTATTTTTGTGTGAAAATTTTCGATTTTGTATTTTACATTTTTAACTT